TCCCAGCAAAGTTAATTAAATGTACCCGACGCTCTCCATGCGCCTTCCCTGTCTCTCACACAGTCAGGCTTGCAATTTCATGTGCTCTCCCTTGATCTATTTTTATACCATCACGTAATAATTTATCTGCTAAATATATCCATCATGCTGGATTTGCATTTATTTTTTTATTAAGTTGCCTGCCAGCCTCCCATAGTTTAACGGGTGTTTACTCAACTCTCTGAGTACTGGAGAGTGTAGAAGTACAAGACGTGGGCCCAAAGCCAGCCACAGATAGCTGCTCTGCTCTGTGACTTGGGGCAATCCCTTTCTGTCAATCCAGGTCTCAGTGTGCTCCTATATAAAATGGGAGCAGGAGCTACACTGAAGAGTTGCTGTGTGGTTTATGGAAGGTAAGATAGTAAATGTAGTATAAACAGTGGGGCTTGGCATTAGAAATGGTTCATCTTTGCATGGGTTTATTGAGTATTACAGAGTTCTCATCACCATGCATGCAGAGATAGGCAAAGCAGGAAGGACAGTAAGCTTAAGGGCTGTGGAAACAGATTGGCCCTGCTCCCAGCTCCTCCTAGCTCTGTGACCTGGGACATATGGTTTAACCTTGTTGTGCCTCAGTTTACTGTAAAGTAGAAATGATCACTGTACCTATGTCACTGGTCTATATTAGGATTCACTTAGTGGTTCCCAACTGAAGGTGATTTTGTCCCCAGGGGACATTTGACAATGTCTGCAAACATTTTTGGTTGTTGCAATTGGGGAAAGGGGTGGCGCTGCTAGTGTCTAGTGGATAGAGGCCAACGGTTCTGCTAAACATCCTACAATGCACAGGACAGCTCCCTACAACAAAGAATTATCCAGCCCAAAGTGTCAACAGTGTTAAAGTTGAGAAACTCTCATTAACTAATATAATGCATATACATTCTTGGCATAGTTATTGACATATAGCAAGTGTCTATCTTGAAGAATAAAGTTGACTGTGTCTGGAGAGAGTAATAGAATGCCTTAATGCCAGCTACAGCACTAGGATTGGAAACTGAATGCTAATTCCTCTCTCAGTCCCCTGCACACCCAGCTTTATCACAGCCTATTCCCTTGTGCTGACTTCGTGCATGCCAGTCTGGCTCATCCATCTGCCAGTTCCTTGGATGAAAGGCATTAGCCTGATTCCTCTTTGAATCCCTTCTGATGTTTAGTGCTGTGACTACACACAGAACACACTCCATTATGGTCAATGAAACCAATAGCTGCCTTAGAGGTGGTTGGCAGTTTGGTTTGAGGAGTGGTAGAGATATATGGATGTAGGAGTCAATTGCTCAGAAAAGCAGGTGGGGCTCTTATAGAAGGCACTGATGAGGGACTGGGATAAAGAAGTGCATCCTCCAAGATCACTTGGCCCAGGCTGGAGGCTGTTCAGGCTCCAAACCATTACAGAGGATGAAGGAGCAAGAGTCCCTTAGTCTCTCCCCTGGAAAGACTGCTGGTACTTCTATGGGACAGAGCCTGGGTGAATGTTCACAGAACCACCAAGGACTGGACTAGGTCTACAGGGCACTACAGAAGTCATCTGGCTCCTGTGTTTGTCTTAGGAGAAACCAGTGGTCCAGCTAAAAACTGGTAGAAGCTGGACCAGAGCCTATGGGAACACGTCTTAATGAACATTACATCCTCACAAGCTAGCAGAGAGCTTGATATACCAGAAATGCTTAGTAAGGTGTAAATGCCTCTAGAAGAGTTTCCTCTCCCATCTCAGGGTAATCAACTGTAAGGGTCCCTTCCTTGTCCCACGAGACCTAGATGGACCCTGGTCTATGAATATTTAAATCCCACTACTTGTCTGGTAGTTTCACAATCAAACCCTAATTCAAGATCTCAAGTCCACAGGGCATAATAGCTTCATGTCACCTGGGTCTCCTTTAGACAAAAGTAGTGATTATAACCATGGTATTAATAGTGACACAGTTACTGGACTTTATTAGATACTTATCGGTACTTTACACACTTTAGCTCATCACATCCTCCCATCAGTCTTATGGGGTGGGCACTGTTACTGTTCCCATGTTACCGATGAGCAAACTGAAGTTTAGGCAAGTTCAACAGCATGCTTCAAACAACACTGCTGGTGTGGGTGGGCCCAGGCTTTACATCCACAATCACCTGGACGGCAGCACCCAAACCCTTACCCATAATACTTCACGGCCTTACAAGGTACCTGGGCAGCACATGACTCAATGACCCCAAAGCTCATTCTCACACCAGCAGTGACACTGTGGGCAATTTACTTACCCTCTTGAAACCTTAGTCTCCTTGTCTGAAAAACAGGCAGAATAAACTCACAGGACTGAATGAGATGTTGACTCCCAATACATGTTGATTTTCTTTCTTCCATGGAAATCCAATCTGTACAGAGAACTGTGTAGGACATTTCAATGTCATGTCCCCTGATGTCCCCTAATCCAGAGCTCCCCCAGCAGTATGAACAGACACCTTGCCTTGCCCACCCCCAGGAGTCTCTGGGGACAATGAAGTTGTGTCCCTTACTTCTTGATATCCTCCCCCATCGCGTTAGCAAAGTGCCCAGACCAAAATTAGGCAATAAATCCTTGCTAAATTGCATGCATAATCAGACACAGAAAAAAAGGAACACATATACATATGTATATATAGTATTTATACTTGTGTATTACAGAGATAGAGGGAAAAGACACCTCATTCTCACGCCTTCAACCATAAGCTCTAGTTCTCCTCTTTTTTTGCTTTTTAGATGAGACACACAGGGACACTCGGGGACTGAAATGAAGGACTTCCCGGCTAGAGCTGCACAGCCAAGCCCTTCCTTGATGCTTTCTCTGCTCTCTCCAGCTCTCTTGCTTTCTCTTCCCTGGGGCCACGTCTTCTGATTATGACCAGTCTAGTGGCATTACCATGCTGCTTCATATGTTGTGGCTCAGTGAGTTGTCTGTGGAGAAACTTGACTAATGAATAATGACAGAGTAGAAAGAACGTGAAATGTTGAGTCAGGAAACCAGGATTTGAGTCCCAGTTCCATTTATTATCTCATCAGGGTCCTTCCACTCTCTGAACCTCAGTTTCCTCTGTCATCACATGGAAACAGTGACCCCTCTTCTGCTTATGGAAATCGAATAGGATCATGACTACTAAAGAGTTCCACATCAAGTGGGACACAGATAAAAGACATTATGAGTGCCTCATCCATGAGGTGAAAAGTCCCATGAGAGTAGAGACTATGCCTTTTACCTTTTGTATGTTCCTTTGCAGTGCCTACCACTATAGAGGTGGTAAGTACACACCACATCCCCATGTAGTGCCTACATGTTAAAATACGTGTAATGAATTCATTATAGTACGCATAATGATGCATGGAGAAAGATGAACGTGATTACAAACATAGATGCATTTCTCCTTTTCCCCCTCAGTTCTAGTTTTCTCTTTCTTATTCTCATTTCATTACTTTTATTTCATTTTATTTTATGAAAGAGATAGGAAATAAATAAAGTGAATTAAAATGAATACACAACTACTCGTGTGGGGAATATGGAAGTCATCAAATGTGAATAGGCACATAAATGAAGTGCGCTGTGATCTGTACACACAAGTATTTTTTTAAAAAAGTGGAGAGATGGATAGAGATGGGAGGAGGTGGGGGGTATGGCTAGAAGAAGGTAGGTGGGGTTGTTGAGTAAAGGAAACTGTGTAATAATCACGATGATCAAGGTATGCTAAAATACCACCACTGCCAACCGCTGGTCACCAAAGATCAGAGGCAGCTGTAACCACACGCGTAGAACACAAGGGGGAGAGGAAGTTCCACCCAGGAACCAGGCAAGGACGAACTTCTCTAGCATTGTTCCTCTCCACCTGTATCAGGTGGTGCTGATACAGTTTTGTTGAAAGTCTGTCTGTTGATGGTGGGCTTCAGGGACTCTCTGTGCATTTCTCTTTATTTGTGAAGCAGTTGGCTCCAGAGATTGAGTGACAGAGAGAAAGCAAACAGAGATGGCTTCTTTCTTCTATTTTTCCTTCCCAGGGGAAGGAGGGGCAGAAGTAGAATAAAAGACGAGAACACATACAGACAAAAATAGAAAATAAAAATTATTTAGAGAAAAACACTTCCAGTAGAGGATGAATAGGAAAGGAGTGGTGTGGGGTGGAGTTTCACACCTTTGAGGAAGGGAAACAACATGAAATAAAATCAGAAATCCAAGTCTCCTGCTCCTGGGTACTTTCCTTCACCCATTGGAGAGATTCGAGCCAGGCCTGCTTTTTTTATTTAGGCGAGGACTTTTGTTTCTTTAAACAAAGGTACCTGGTTAAAGGTTCTTTAGGATCAGATGGCTGTGATCAGGCATGGTCCAGAAGCCCCACTTCAGACCAGTGGGGAGGTGTCAGCCTTTACATGACTAAGGGACTATAGGTAGGTGTGCCTCTTTAAAGCAAACAAAATAAGGGAAAATTAGAAGCTACTGATTTTATACTGAAGGGCAAGGACTCAAATTTCAGACTAATTTTTGACTATTAAAAAATTATTTGAGGATAAGGAACAGGTTGGAATTCCTCTTGTGAATTTTATTTCATATTGCATACCAGCATTTACTAAATACCTACTGTAAGTTATTTCTGTATGACATCATTATCCTGTTAGATTGAAAAGTGGAGAGAAGCCGGTATGGGAAGTGTCAAGGTAAGCAGTTCATTCCAAGTTAGAAGTGAAGACAGAATATTTCTTTATGCCAAGTGCAGTGCCCATGCCTGTGGCCGCTGCTTTGGGAGGCTGAGGCAGGAGGATCCCTTGAGGTCAGGAGTTCGAGACAAACCTGAGCAACATGGGAAGATCCCTCATTTCTACAAAAAAAATTTAAAAAATTAGTTGGATGTAATGGCACCTTATAGTCTCAGCTACTCAGGAGGCTGAGGCAGGAGGAGAGCTTGAGTCCAGGAATTCGAGGCCACAGTGAACTATGACCATGTCACTGCACTCCAGCCTGAGTGATAGAGTGAGACCCTGTCTCAACAAACAAACAAAAACAATTTTTTGAATAGGGTAGCTAAACAGTATTCAGTTCATACCTAATGTCAACTTTCACCTGCACCTGTGGTTTTGTAGGCAATGAAGCTAAGGAGTACTTGGTCAATAGCTCCTGAAGTCAGGATTTTTTAAATCAGGCAACCTCAGCCAAGATTCTCTGGGTGCACAGACTCCTCTTGCCCCCTACACTGACTCTGGCTCCAGTGAGGTCTTCCCTGGGTGGCGGGGGTAACAATCGACGGGGTTGAGTGGTAGGAGGTGCCTCTCACCTGCCTCAGGAACCAGGCTCAGGGCAGGCCCCAGGTTCCCCAGGATTAGAAGGTCCCCCATTCTTTCATCTCAGAGGGGGAACCTCAGCATCAGAGCTGAACGAATTCACTCATGAGTTCATTTGTTCATTAATTTTTATATTTCTGAGCATCTCTCATATGCTTCAATCCTGGGGATATAGCTTCTAACAAGCCAGGCAGGGTCTCTGCCCCTAGGTGGAGACTTACTTTCTGGTGGGACCAACAGATAGTTCACAAGGAGATGAGATGAACTGCAGAAAATGATTAGTACTGGGTAGAAAAGGAAACTTGTAATGGAATAGTGAGCATGGTGGAGGGTGGAGATAGGGAGACCAGCCAAGACCTCTCTGGGGCCATGACACAGAAGAAGCCAGCTGCAAGGAACTCTCCAGGCAGAGGAAAATCCAAGTATGAAACTCCGCAAACAGACCCGGCGTGCCTGATGCATAGGAGAAACTCCTCATCAGGTCTGGTCCTGGGTGGGTTACCAGAGCTGCCCTCAATAACCCCATCAAGGAAGAGAGCCTTTGTAGGCCCCACCCCAGAGATGCTGAGTCAGCAGGGGTGGGGAAGCAGGAATCTGCAGTTTAACAAGTGTTGGGTGATTAGAATTCACCTAGCCCTGCCATCAAACTGCTGGACCAGATGGTGACATGGGGTTAACGACCAGAATCCCAGATTCAAGCTCATTTTTATCCCATTAACTGGGAGTTTATGATTTGGTCAAGGCTTGTCAAACTGCAGCAGGAGGAGGAGGCCTCAGGAATGATTTAGCACATATGAAAAAACAGCACAGAGATGTTACAAGGTTTCCTAAAGCCACAAAGCAACACGAGTTCACTCTGGGGTTCAAGTCAATCGGCAGTTGGGAGCCCCAGAGGTCCACTCAGTGTGGACTGGTACCGTAGGTTTTGCCTGGAAAGAAAAAAGAAAACCAGCTATAGACAAAATCTGGGTGAACTACCCATTAAATGTCTGGCTTTGCTTCACACGCTTCCCTGGTATACTTGTCATGACAAAGTACTTGCTAAGTGTTCACCAGGTAACTAAATGGGAATAGGTATTGTATGAGGTGTTTATTTATAAACCAACCAACAGCAAAGAGATGCTTTGGTTTTACAATAGTTGATCTTTAACCCTTCTTTATGGGGATGACAAATCAGAGGGAAAAGTTGTATTTCGAGGTCACGGAGTTTCAAATTATAATGTCATCTGTTTACTAGAACAGAATGTTTTTCCCCCCCTAATTAGGGGGTGGTGGCAGTGGCATGTACCCAGCACATGTTAAGTAGCAAATTAGCATTCGAGCTGAGCTGATTGTAGATCTCAGTTTCCTTAACTCTCCTGCCTGTTATTCTTTGCAGAGGCAGGAGGCTGTACCCTGAGCTTTTGACCCTCCCCAGAAACCAGGCTCAGGACTGGCCTCAGGTTCCCCAGGGTTAGAAAAGGGTCCCCCTCCTTGCATCTCAGAGTAGAAATCTCAGGGTCATAGAAAGTAAATTAATTCCTGACTTCATTTATTTATTCATAAACGAATAAATTTGCCACAGCAGAAATATGGGCATGTGGTCTAGTAGGGGGTTAAATTGCCTGATTTGCAAATGAGTTTGTCTGAAAAGTTCTTTAATGTTTTGTCATACACTTCACCAAAAAGACCATAATTATACACAATTAGGTCAATGCTTAAAAATCTGGGCCAAATTGACCCACTCCAAAACCAATCTCTGTTACCACTAGTGCCAAGCAAACAGGTATTGTAGACCTGATTGAAGAGGGGAATGTTTAACCAACTGAATAACACAAGAGCATTTTTAAGAATCATAGAATATCTGATGCCTTTATGTAAACCATACTGCTAATTGCAAATGAGTATTGTCAATTAAAGAGGGTTTTTAAGAAGAGATATGTAGAAGCATTTTATTAGCCATCAAATTGAATTGCTACAGATGCTAGAAAATGTTATAGCAGTATTTCTTAAAGAATATTCTATAATTCAGTTCCTGTTCGAGACCGTTGCCATGATAGTTTGTGCCACTGAGGTCTTGTTGAAGCATATCTATTGAGTTTGTAGACCACACCCTTCAGACTCAGACGTACCTGGATTTGACATTTAAGCCCTCTGCCTCAGCTGAGCCCTCCCCCTCAGCTGAGGGACCTTGGGCAAGTTAGCTGTTTTCTCTGTACTCAGCTTTCTCATCTGTAAAATGGGCTTGGCAGTACCCTCCTCTCAGAGTTACTGATAACATCCACCAAATGTTAAGCACAGAGCCAAGTGCCCAGCTGTGAAATCCACCATTAGGGCTATTCTCTTCTAGTTCCTGCCTCCCACCCTAAATTGCCTTACCCTCTTGGAAAGCTTTAGTCAAGAGCTGCTTCAGAAGACTTTGAGAAGACCTTAAGGCCATGGACAGGAAGCAGAACAGCATGAGGAGTGTGTTTGACCCTGGTCTCCGGGAAGGGATGGTGACACTAACAGGTAAACACTGCTCTGGGCAAATGATGTCTGCTAGAGATATCAACCGTTCTCCAATCACCTGTAAGAGAGCACCAACATCAAAAAAGAATGTTCTCTTCGTAGTCATCGAGAGAAAGTGTCAATTGCTAAGCATCTAAATTGTACCAGACACTTTATAATCCAGACCTCATTTCATTTGCACAAAAGTTCTATGAGGCAGGATTCTAAGCTCCATCATTTTGGAGGTGGGGAAACTGAAGTTCAGATAAGTTTAGTCACTTCCCCCAAGGTCAAAGGCACCATGTTATGTTTATAATCCTTAAAACAAACGAATGTGGAAGGGTAGAGGTAAGCAGTCAGAGTCTAAATGGGAAAGGAGCAATTAGAGCAACCCCAAGACCCATCTCTGCACACACGAGAAAACATGTCTGGGATATGAACTGAGAGAAAATATGATCCTGTGAAAAGAAGAGGCTTAAAACAGATCTAGGCTGGTGGGGAGGAGGGTGGAATGCAGCCTGGGAGAGGGCTGGAGGTGGAAGGAACATGAAGGGATATGGAGCAACAGGATTTCCAGCTGGGTAGCGCTAATACCAGGAGCCCATGAGCCATGTTGCTTCTCTTGCTGTCCACGCCGTGGAGCAGGGACTTGTGTGCATACCTATCTCTCTGCCTTCTCCCCCACTGATCCTTGAGTTATCAAAGGAAGGACATGTATTTAATTTTGTTTCCCCCAAACCATACAGTGCCTGGTACAGAGTTAGAGGCCAACATACCTATTAAATAGGTGGATGAGCTGAAGATTAGCAGATTAATCCAGGAAGTCTTCCTGTAGGAGAGGGCCTGGAGCTGGAAAAAAAAGAAAGAAAGAAAGAAAAAAAGACAACAGAGGTGTGGTGTGGTAGAAAAAAAAGGCATAGAGCTGTTTTATATAAGTGAGGAACTGACGCGTGTGTGTGTGTGTGTGTGTGTGTGTGTGTGTAATCAGGGATAAGGCATAGAAAGGATTGCTCCCTTCCTAAATTTGGGAAGAAGTGTTCCGGATCTGCTTTAACAACTTGCATTTTGGAGACAAATATGCCTGAGTTCAAGTCCCACCTCTGACACCACAAACTGTAACTTGGACATAGCACTTAACTTTTGTGAGCCCCAGCTTCCTCACCTGTACAATAGGGATAATAACCTGTCAAGATAGTTAAGAGGGATAAGTAAGATGATATGACACCCTCACACAGGTCCTGACACATGGTAGACCTTTGTGAATTTTGATCCTCCTGCTTTAAAAACCTGTGTCCTATCCTAGAAGTCCAGGACCTCTTGGTTAACAAATATGTGAAGTTTATCAGCCTTGGCCATTTGTGCTTGCTTGTGATGCTTCTGTTCTCTGAGCTCCCAGGATCAATAAACCACTGATTAATGCCTCAGAGTGCACCTGGACGTTATTGTCAGTGGACCTAGTTTAGCAGGGGTCCAGATGGGATGAAAACATATTTCAGAGTAGAGTTAAACCTAGAGGGACATGCCCTCAGCTGCCTTCTCCACCATCGTCCAAGGAGTATGATTTAAGCCTGGAAAGCCCTGAAGATGAGAACTTGGCTCATCAAGGTGACTCCATGTGACTCTGCCCCAGCTTGGCAGTGTGGCTTGGGATGGCCACTCAGACTTTCTGTTCTCTTCCTCCTGATGGGGATTTAGCACCATTGATTCAGTAGGTTCTAGTCATTTGAGCTCTGGCATGGGACAAAAGGGCAAGCCACACACACCTGCTAGCAGGAGCTGACTGCCAGTGGAGTTTCAGGAAAAAGGAGGTAGGCGGAAAGACTAATTCTTTGCTCCCACCTATAGTTCCAGCTGTGCTTCCATCTGACAAATCAGGATCAGAATACACACACACACACACACACACACACACACACATACACACACACACTGCCCTAATGGAATGGTATGCAACCAGTCCTACCTGGAGTCCCAGTTGTCTTTCTCTTTCAAATACAGACTATCCCGACAGCTATGTGGGGGCGGGGGAGGGGACTACTTGTTGCTCTTTCTCTGAGGCTCCAGGGACAACCTGGCTTTTCTGTCTCAGGAGGGGCTCCTGGCTGCTCCCCTAGAATGCCCCCTCGCTGTCTGCATCAGAGGCACTGTGGGTTTGGATCGCCCCCTTCCTTCTGCATTTTTAGCATTCTCCGCTCTGGAGATCCCAGGCTGGGTCTAACCTGGGATCCCTGACATTGATGCAAAGGAATGCCGCCTCCAACCTCACACCTGGCTCCTGGGAGTTTAGCACTGTCTTCCTGCCACCCGGGGGGCGGGGTGTCATGTCAACCTTCAAGAAGCCCCCACTAGCTCCCCTCAAAAAGGGCTAAAAAGAAAACTTGGAGAAAGTCCCCAGCCCCCACCAGACCTTCTCCCCCGCCCTGCCCCTCCCCCAAAGGCAGCCTAGCAGGGACAGGAAGCTGGGGCGGGAGAAGCAGGCAGGCTCTGTGACCTGGGGGTTGTCCCTTTTCTCCGGGGAGGCGGGGGGAGAATGGATCACGGTCTGCGCCCCCCTCTTCCGTCCCCAGTCTCCGGATACCGGTCCTCGTCTCTCCGTGCCGCGCGCTGCCTCGTCTCCCCGGTGCTAGCAGCGGCCGCTGGCATTTGGAATTCTGCCCACAAAAGGGGGCCTGGAGGAGGAGGAGAGGAGGGATGGAGGCCGGCGGCGAGAAACGGCATCCGGAGTCCAAAACATCATGGGAAAAAGAATCGAGCGGCGGAGCTCTGAACGCTGTGCCGCTGCGCCCGACCGCAGTGCATCAGCGTGGCCGCCCTGACATCCCCCAGGATGGTTAACATGGGGCATTATGCGCTGGTTAACAGGCTCCGAGCTGCTCAGCGACTTGTTTTAAGCATTTTCTCCCTCGCTCTCGCTTTTAATCTTGTCTCTAGTGGCGTGTGTAGGGGGGAGGACTTTATTTCCATTGGCTAAGCTCTCCCTTCCCACCCACATCTCTTCCACATCACCTTGGTGTCTCCCTAAATAAAACCAGCCCTCCTTATCGCCTGGAAAAAATCAGGAGCTAGAGTTTGAATGGGTTTTATATAAACACTCACCCCTGTCAGCGTGCGGCTGGGCTCTCAGGATAAACTCACAGCGTCTGGCCCGATGCTTGCCTTGCGTTCTCTCCCCTGAACGTCAAGGTTTAAGCAGAGCCCGAGGACTGGGAACTCTTCTCTGAAATTCGACCAACCTGAAGCCAGTTGCGGAACTGCACAGGGTCCCGATGGACCTCAAGGAGAGCCCCAGCGAGGGCAGCCTGCAACCCTCTAGCATCCAGATCTTCGCCAACACCTCCACCCTCCATGGCATCCGCCACATCTTCGTGTATGGGCCGCTGACCATCCGGCGTGTGCTTTGGGCAGTGGCCTTCGTGGGCTCCCTGGGCCTGCTGCTGGTGGAGAGCTCTGAGAGGGTGTCCTACTACTTCTCCTACCAGCACGTCACCAAGGTGGATGAAGTGGTGGCTCAAAGCCTGGTCTTCCCAGCTGTGACCCTCTGCAACCTCAATGGCTTCCGGTTCTCCAGGCTCACCACCAACGACCTGTACCATGCGGGGGAGCTGCTGGCCCTGCTGGATGTCAACTTGCAGATCCCGGACCCCCATCTGGCTGACCCCTCTGTGCTGGAAGCCCTGCGGCAGAAGGCCAACTTCAAGCACTACAAACCCAAGCAGTTCAGCATGCTGGAGTTCCTGCACCGTGTGGGCCATGACCTGAAGGATATGATGCTCTACTGCAAGTTCAAAGGGCAGGAGTGCGGCCACCAAGACTTCACCACAGTGAGTACTTGGTTTTCAGCTCACTCTGGTCCTCTGGAGAAGTGGTGCGCTGGTGGTCTCCTGCTTGGTTTGGGGTCTCTTTGTGCTTTGGGACAGGAGAGAGAGCAGTGCCTCACCCGAAGGCCACGAGGGTAGTTGGTCAGAGTTGTGGGAGCCAGTTGCAGGGAAGACTACCGGCCAGGATAGAGCACTGCTGTCAGTTCAAATATGGAGGGTGAGTGGAGGGCTTGCGGTGGGGGATCACTTCCCCAGACGTGCTGAGTTGGCTTCCTCCCAGTCAGAGGGTGGAGGCCTGGGCTGTCCGTTGTCCGGTGCGCTTGGGGTCCGAGCTGTGTGATTGGAACAGCTTGTCATTGACGAGGTGGCATTCTGTGTGTGTGTGTGTGTGTGTGTGTGTGTGTGTGTCTGCTCGGAAGTGGCATCAGGCACTGCATCCTGTGGGCTGGGCTGGAGCTAAAGCCGTCAGAGAAGGGGGTGTGGGGCCCAGGCAGTCTGCCTGGCTCCAGTGGCTTTGGGAGCTTGCTGGAGCAGGTGATGCTGCAGAGGTGTGGAAGTCTCCTTGTTTCCTTTCCTTGTGTGAATTCTGAGCTCCATGTGGGGAGAGGAGAGGCCGGGGACCCCAGGGCTCCATCTGATCTGTTGGCAGGTTGAAGCAAAGAGATGTTCAGAGTGCTTGGGCAGAGAGGAGGGTCTAGGCGGAGGCACGTGTGCAAGGCGGTCAGGGAGATGCCTGTGAGGGTGAACCGGTCCCGGCTGCCTTGTCTGGGAGCTTTGGCTTGAAACTCAAAGGCTCGGTTTTCTCTATGTATAATCGCTTAACGAGGTGGATGCAGGAGGAGGGGTGCAGGGAGGGGGCGAACAGCTGTGGGAATGGAAAGCCTGGAGGAGGAGTGTGGAGCTGAGTAAAGAGGAAAAGCGGAGGGGGATGTGGCTTACGTTCAGGATGGGGCTTACTGGAGGGGCAGAGAGGAAAGGATGAGAGGAGAGCTATTGCTACCAGGGTTCTCTCCTCAGTTAGTGGGCTGCTAGGCATAACTTGGCATAACAGGTCAGACAGCAGCTGCTGACTACTCTTTGCTGCCAGGCAAGTCTGGGCATCAAGGGCCCTGGGACCCTTCTGAAGTCCAGCGTGGCTGCTTCCCCCATAGCTGCCTTAGTGAGGATTGAGAGCTTTTGAGTCTCAGAACATTGAACCAAAATGCAACTGCAAGTTGGGAACAGCAGGTGTAGCAGCTGGAAAGGGCTGACCTGTGACACCAGCACTTGTCTAGGGTCCTCTGCCTAATGAAGACATTTCTTACCTTTCCTGTGCTGCATCCATTCCCCACCCCCTCTTGAATTCACCAGCCTCTTGCTCTGAGGTTCTTTTAATGCCATAACCAGTCTCTGCCTGCAGCCTCTGTGACTGCTGTTGGCTATCTCTGATTCTAAAAAAGCCCAGCGCGCCGGGGGCATTGCCTCTCACAGTCTGTGTGCTAGAACTCTGTTTCTTGGAGGAGCTGTTTTGTATTATCCCTTTTAAGCCTTGTGAGGAAGAGCACAGCAAAATCGGCAGTGGTGTATGCTAAAGAGGAAGCCAGTCTGAGCTGGGGGAAGGGACCAGTAATATTGGAAGCCCTTCTAAATGGAGCCAACAGGATCCTAAAACATGTCATGCACAAATGATGTCTTAGGTGGCTTGAGGAGAGATAGAGAAAATGCCTTATTCTTGGAGGCTGAAGCCATCACTACATTCCACCCCGTTCTTTCTAGTGCCTGGCAACGCTCAGCTTCACCACTGCACCGTGCAGCTTGGAAATGCACTCAGCTGTTCCTCTGTCTGCCTGAACACACATGGAACACACAGACGACACAGAGGGTGACACAGAGAGAAACTGTAATAAGTAGCAGACTCTGGGTTGAGTTCTCTAGCTTCCTCCTGATTGCATGTCCAACTGGTGGCTTCTTCTGAATCCATGTCTAAGTTCCATTTAGAAGTAAATGTTTTATGACCCCAGGCTACTGTTTTATACTTGGACCATCATTTGACTTGCTGGGGTCCCAAGAAGCCTTTAAGATCAGACCTTAAAGTTTGCCTGAGCTTTTGACCTCTTTGTAATGTTTCCCAAATAGTGAAATTGCCTGTGGATAAGGTTTACTGCTCTGTCAGTGGCATGTCATTAACTGCTGTCCTCACCAAGTTCAAGACTAATCTATCTGAGTGTCCATTCCTTGGGCTGACCCTCTATGTGTGACTTTCCCCGTCATTGAAAAGGGAGTGAGTCTGAGTGTTGCTGTTCAGGTTGTTCAGGGAGTGTCAGAAAAAACATCTACTCCAAGGCAGCCCAAGGAGGCTCCAGCAGGAAGGCTGGTCTCTGCCCCCAGCCTGGGCACAGTGGGCAGCAATGCTGAGCCTTTACTAGAGGGAACAAGATGCTGAGTTTGCTCAAGACCTTGCAGTGAGGAGTACTCCTCCTGACTCATCCTTATCTCTCTGTCTTTTTTTTTTTGGCCTGGGATATAAGTATCCTTCTTACTGGGCTGCCATACCAGAAGAGAGCAGAGAGCCTGGACAGGTGGCTGCTGGAGAAGCCACTTGACCGGCCTTCTCTTATTCCTTGTCTCTACTGCACATCCCTCTCCAGTTGGTTTATTTATGAGGCTCTATCTGGGGTTGTACCATGCTAGGTGACTTCTTCCTCTAAGTGTGGTGGCTGACTTATTAGAGAAGTTAAGTATGGGGGAAGGGATGTCACAAGTGGATGGCTTTTCTCTGTATTTCTTTTTCTATGAAGCATACCTAGTGGCATCTCCAGTGCTAATGCTGTAGCATAAGCTTTCTTATTCCAAGTTCTTAGCTGATGTGCAATGAAGTGCGTAATACCCTTTAATTAGTGAATGAGCCATGATTCTAGCAGAGTGAGAGAAGGCTGTTTGTGGAGGGTAAAAGTCCCAGGGAAGCCAGGTGTGGGATGCTGACTACAATGTAAACAGGTGTGCTTCATGCTCATGCAAGTACACTCTTAGCCCTCACTTAGGACAATCTGATTTCAGATAAGCGTATGTTTTTTCCTTCCTGGAAAAGCAGAAGAAGGCTTTAATTTCAGATTGTCTACTTAGGAAGGTTGCCTCATTGATCTAGTGTGGAAGGAAGGAGGAGGGATTGTGTCTCTGGCTGTGATGTTGGATAATGTGAGTTCAAGATTAAGAGTAGAAAGACATAGGTTTGAAGCCCAGCTACAACATTGTCTTTCTTATTTGCTGGTTGTATCTTGCATTCTCTCTAGGCCTCGACTTGCTCATCTAACATGTGATAGTAAAACGTGACTTACTAACCCACAGGGATGTTGGGAGGCAATATATATGTCCATTGTGCCAGCTACAAAGATGGAAGGTGGGGTTGGTTTCCATATTAGTAGTCGGGCTATTGTTGTTCAGCCTAACTGCCCTGTTTGCAGGAGTCAGACCTGATGAGTAATGCTATAAAAGATGAAACCAGGGAGGGAGAGGAGGCTACTGCTTTCTCTGTTTGGAGCAGTGGGTTT